GAAGCAGGTTGGTTGGGAGGCCGAACGCTGACCGATCAACCGGGCGGCCGACCATTGCTGAGGACAGGGTCCATAATTAACACGTTATTCAAAAAGCCGCCGTCTGTCAGGGCTATATAGCGTGAAGATATTTACCAAAGAAACTGCAATTTCTTCATTCTATATTCATAACACATTCACCAATTCTTAATCCGATTGCTTGAAACTTCCTTTCCCCGTCAAGTGAAAGAGAAAAAAAATGGGTTTTATTTTTTTTTGTTTTATCAGATGATACTGACCGCTGACTTTTGAAGAACACTGGTTAAAACAGAACATCCAAGGTAATATAGCAACTGTGTCCACATGCAACTGCTTCGAAAATTTTATCATGCATCCTAAGTGATCATAAGAAGCATTTATTTGTACAGTAATGCATTTACATACTGAGTGAAAAGAGTGTATTGTTTTATATACAGGATGTCTAGTAAGTTTCCATATATATAGATTTTAACATTTTTTATATTTGATGTGGGGCCAAAGTTGGGACCACAGAAGTAAAACACGGAACACGGATTAGATGTAAGAAAGATATATTAACAACAGGTTACAGAGATAGTGTAAGCGGAGCTTACTATAAGTTAATGTCCAACACTGGTAGTCGTACTAGACTCTCACTGTCTCTCTCTGTCGCTCTCTAGAGTGCTATGTCGCCTACTTAATATAGGCCTGGAAGAGTCTATTGTGTAGGTAATTTCCGGTCTCACAATAATATTTCAGATATCCGAGAAGATGCGTTTGAATAAAGGTGCTATGATGGTCAGCGTGGACCTATAGAGTGGCCTTCCAGACCCCCAGACCTTACCCCACTAGATGGTTTTTTTTATCTTTGGGGGCATTTGAAGGACATTGTGTATCAGGAAAAGATACAAAACATGAATCATTACAAGCAACGTATCACCAACACCATTAAAAATATAAATCCAACTGTGCTTGGACGTGTTCTTCAGCAGTGGCGGACAGGCGCATTGAAAAGAGTTAGCAACAGAATGGTAATCATGTAGAGCGTAGTATATAAATAAAAGTGATTTTTCATATATAAAAAGATTTATCTTTCCTATGTATGGAAATTTATGGGATACGCTATATAACAGAATAAGACGCGCAAATGACACGGCATTGGCGTCAAACTTTGAAGAAAAAAAACGAGAAATAAAAGATTAACTATTAACTTTAAGATAGAAAGCGAGACAAACCATGTTGCAAGTTACGAATTGGAGATGTCAGAATCAAGCAGTTATAGAAACTGAATTATCTATAGATAATATACTAAGGAAAGCGTGAGGCAGAAATCAGAAGCTTCATAGGAATGGCGAAAGATGCCGTTCAGAAACTAAGCAAAGAGACAGATAGGAAAGTTTTGATAGAAACAAAGAAAAGAGTGCCGAATCGTTACGCCACATCTGTCCTCCTATATGGCAGCAAATATTGGACATTCTTCAAAGCTTAAGAAAATTAAAGCGACTGATATTTGGTTCTACAAAAAAAAAATCTGAGAATACCATGGACGGAACAGTTATCTTTATCACACTTCACGCCTGTAGAACTCCCTCCCGTTTACTTGCTTCCCTGATAAATACAATCTTCAAAAATTTTAAATGCAACGTCAACCGCCATCTTCTATCTTCTGGAATCTCGTTCATCTTTTGTTCTTTTCTCAATCCTCCCTATTCTCAGCCTTTTCTTTCATTTTCACTCCCTGTAACCCACTCCGTACTAGTGGTATTTCTGCCTTGCTTGGGATGAAATGATTAAAAAAAAAAATGAACAATAACAGAATTTTAAGAAAAACGGGAGCTAAAAGGACAATTCAACTTAAAATCAGTAATACACACATAATGAGGAAAGTGGACGTGGAGAATTTAACACTCACATATTGAAAGCAAGAGGGAAATTTTGAATAACCTACATAAGTGTGTCAATGGATGGCAAAGCAGAAATAAAGGACGCTGCGAGAGCTACAAGGGACAAGAAGTGGTGGAGAGCCATGATCACCTACCTTTCAAAAGGATCTATAATTGCAACAAAGAACAGAACCGCTTTGCCTGACATTTGTACTGATATTAAAGTGTAGTATAGACGGTTTCTTTTTGTAATCTGAGGGAAGCCTATTTATGGGGTTACCAACACCGGAGCGACACCTCCTCACTTGTTGCGCATAAAAGGAGGTGTTGAAGGATTCCGACGCCAGCAGCAGTTGCGTTGTTTTGGGCAATTTAATTCCTAGCCTATATGTAGGCGTACAGGTACCCGACATTAAACGCGACATGTGTGATCTATCACCATTGGGAGTGGTCGCTAAAGGCAATATCGGCATCATTGCAACTTAAAACATTTTATTAATATTTCTGAAACTTTTCACTTACTTCAGCCAGCCATTTAGAATAACGAAAGATAACATTTCTCGATAATCCAAGGATATAGTATTTATTATTACTATAACAATTTTCTCTGTTGAGGAGATTTTAATTTCTCTCTACTGAGCATTATATGGTTTATAAAGAATCCGCGCATATGCTAGGCCATAAATTCTCCTAATCCGGCAAAACATAGACAAGAATACAATATGAGAACCAGTAATACAGAGAGCTAAAGAAAAACAACAATAACAAAATTTGTAATATGAGCTCTGGTAAAAACAGATATCTGGGGATTATAAGTCCTAAAAATTCACTGATGTCTCCAAGGACACAAGGGCCAGTGGATAAAAGCGTTGGTTGAATTAATCCAAAGAGTTCTAAGTTCAATACCAGGCCACAGCAGAGGCGAACAAAAATTTAGAGAGTTGAGTTACTAAAGGGAGTTAACTGAAACTGAAATATCCAGAAAAGGCACGCGGAACTAGAACACTTGTACCTCCGTAGACCAAATAAACGGTTCGGCTCAAAATTTCAACGTATGTTACCTGAAGAAGGCCGGAGCGTACGACGGTCGAAACGTCGTGAATATGACAATAAAGATGAGGACAACAGGCCGAACAATGTAAATAGTTACAATACAGAAACATAGACGTTTATACGGGTTTTGCTCAGTAGTCAGAAACGCGACTTCCTAATATCTATCTGTAAGTTCAGATTCAAAATTACCCTTGCTTAGAAAGCGGTAACCAAAAAGTATCGCTAAGATTATCAAATGCTTTGTTTGCAAGAGAAGAATCTGTTTTGAAGTTTCATGTAGAGATAACGACAGAGGAGACGTTTAAATTTAGCGGATGAAAATTGCGAAAAGATGCAGTCAACTTGCACCTGATGGCGTACTGATGCTCCGTAACTATTATCGGCTTCTTTTATGTCTTTTTTTTTTGTCTTTTTTTTTTTTTTAATTATGGCAACTTCTTTTAAAAATTTCTCTTGTCTTCATTCCACAAATAAATTCTGAGTGAAGGAAGGAAAATGACGCACGGACATATTGGACCGCCAATAGTCACTCGTGCTAAGAAGGGAATTTTTTTTACTGATGATTTTTTGTTTTTTTTTTAAGAAAAAAAAAATCTTGCTTTTGAAGAGAGAGATTCCAGCTGAGCCATTCTGTGATTTGGCATGCCATGGTACTCTTAACTAGGGGTGGGCTTGGTTGTGAGATCTTTCCACTGAAGACAGCGGCGCCTGATTGTCACAATAGTTTTCCATTGTTGTTGTCTCCCGCTGCGGTCTCCCACCGTGAAAACGAGGCTTTGGGATTGCACTGGTGCTTAAGCCGACAGACTTAATGAGTTCGCCCGCCACGTTGTCTCCGGTCGGTCATTATCCATTATTGGGGGGGGGGGAAGTTGGCCATTTTATTCTAGCCTGGTTTGTGTCAGGAGTTAAGAGAGAAATGCCAAGACGTTAGGCTGCGCGAACTGAATGCAGTGTGATTCACAAATTTGCGAAAAGAAGAAAAAGAAAGAAAAAAAAAAAGAGAAGAATTAAAACGAAAGTGACAGAGAAAGAGAGATTATGCAAAATAGATAAACTAAGGATGCAAACGGGGGAGGAAAAATAAACTGATAGAGAAAATAAAGAATAATATATATGAAAACAAAAATGACTACAGAGTGAATCTAAAAAACAATGAATTAGTAGAAGAAATAAAAAACACGAAAAGGAAAGAAAAGAAAGAAGTAAAGAAAAAAGAACTAAGGAAAAGAAAGAGAAAGAAAGAACTAAAGAAAAGAAAAAAGGAAAAAAGAAAAGAAAGAACGAAAGAAAAAAAGAAAGAAAATTGAACTAAGAGAAAACCGTACAAAACCAGTGACTACATCCCAAGATAAAGAAATAAAGAGAAAGAAGGAAGAAAAAATAAAGTGAAGGAAATGTTTTGGAAATATAAAAGAATGAGAAAAGAAAATTCGTCTAGAAATGAAGAGAAAAAAGAAGAATAAAATACACAAGAAGACGAAAATCTGAGAATAATAAGAACGAAGAGAAAAAATGGAAGAAGAGAAAATGGAAGAAAACGAGAACAAAATATTAAAGAGGAAATGATGGGAAAAAGAGGGGAAAGCGAAAAAGAAGAGATGCAAGAAAAAGAGGGAAGAAGAAAAAGAAGAGATGAAAGAAATAGGAGGGAAGAGGAAAAGGAAGAGATGCAAGTAAAGGAGGTAAAAAGACAAAGAAGAGACGCAAGAAAAGAAAAGAAAAAAAAGAAGATATTTCTTATTACGATTGTTCATCTAATACAAGCCATTTGTGCCACTCAATTTAGAGGATTATTGAGTGGGGATGTTGTAAGCGTGTTATAGGAGGGAGCAAAGGTTGCATATAATGAAGATATGTAGGATAGTTAACAGCTGACCTTCAACTTGAAGATGTTAAGATTGTAGTGATAAAGAAAGCAACCTCTCAGGAGTCTGCACAACATTGAAAATTGGGAAAGTTGAACTGAGAGGGACTAGCTCCTTATCAATGAAATATGAAGGCAATGAGTATATGCAGACTCAGTATACGTGGCATGGTAGTTCCTAGGCGTGAAGAAGAAAAAGACTAAAGGGAAGAAAAAAGGAAGGTAAGAAAATGATGGTAAAGCAGATTGATGAGGAAGAAAAGATGGAAAAAAGATTGAAGGGGAATAAGAAGAGATGGAAGAAAAGATAGAAGAAAAAGAAATAGGGAAGAACAAATATGGAAGAAAAGGAGACAAAGAAGAGATGAAAAAATAAGAGGGTGATAAAGAAGAGAAAAAAAGTAAAGCGGGCAGTGGAAAAAGATGAAAGAAAAAGAGGGATGAGGAAAAGGAAGAGGTGAGAGAAAAGGAGGGAAGAGGGGAAAGGAGAGATGGTAGAATAGAAGGATGAGGAAGAGATGAAAGAAAAGAAGATAAAAGGATAAAAAAATGGAAGAAAAAGAGGGAAGAGGGAAAAGAAGAGGAAAAAGAAGAGATGGGAGAAAAGGAGAGAAGAAGGAAAAGGAGTGATGGTAGAATAGGAGGAGAAAGAAGTGATAAAAAAAGGAAATTAAAGGATAAAAAAGAATTGAAGAAAAAGAGAGAGGAAGAAAATAAGTGATGCGATAAAAGAAGGGGAGACGAAATGAGATTGGAAAAAAGGAAAGAAGAGGAAAAAGAAGAGATAGAAGAAAAGGAGGGAAGAGGAAAAAGATGGGAGAAAAGAAAGGAAGAGCTAAAAGAGATGGGAGAAAAGGAGAGAAGAGTAAAAAAGAGAGATAGAGTATGAGGATTAATAAGATATGAAAAAGAGATAAGAGGATAAAAAATAAGTGGGTGAAAAGGAATAAAGAGGAAAAAGAAGAGATGGAAGAAAAGGAGGGAAGAGGAAAAAGAAGAGACTGGAGAAGAGAAAAGAAGAGGAAAAGAAAAGATGGAAGAAAAGAAAAGATGGAAGAAAAGAAAGAAAGAGGAAAAATAAAAGATGGGGAAAATGAAAAGAAGAGGAAAAAGAAAAGATCGGAAAAATGGAGGGAAAAGGAAAAAGAAGAGATCGGAGAAAAGGAGGGAAGAGGAAAAAGAAAAGATGGCAAAATGGAGGGAAGAGGAAAAAGAAGAGGTGGAAGAAAAGGAGAGATGGTAGAATAGGAGGATAAAGAAGAGATAAAAGAGAAGGAGATAAATGGATAAAAAGAGAGGGGAGAGTATTGGAAAAAGAAGTGATGGCAGAAAAGGAGAAAAGAAGGAAAATGGAAATATGGTAGAATAGGACCATATAGAAGAGATGAAAGAAAAGGAAATAAAGGGTGATGGGAGAAAAGGAGGGAAGAGAAAAAAAAGAAGAGATTGGAGAAAAGGAGGGAAGAGATTGGAGAAAGGAGGAAGAGAAAAAAAAGAAGAGGATTAGAAAATGAAAAGGGGAGGAAAAAAAGAAGAGAGAAAAAGAGAAGAGAAAGAAAAGGAGCTATTAGAGAAAAGGAGGGAAGAGAAAAAAGAAGAGATTAGAGAAAAGGAGGGAAGTGGAAAAAGAAGAGATGGAAGAAAATGGAGAGAAGAGGAATAAGAAGAGATGGAGAAAAGATGGAAGTATGGAAGATAAAATAAGAAGAAAGATGAAACATTTTGATATAACTCTGTATATCCTAATATCTGGTGTTTCGATTCCAGGTGAAAATCCTGGATTTCACATGTTGATTTTCAAGGCGGATAGATACAGATTATTTCAAATGTTGACGATACACAATCTTTCGAAATGTTTTTTTCTTTTTCATTTGACTTTGACCAGGATTAACGTAAGTAAATACCAAATCGAAGCAAAAAGTGACTTGTCCTCCGATTGAAAGAGATCTACACCGACAATAATAGTTTTTGAGTTAAAGTAAAAAGCTAAGATTTTAAAACTTGATTTTCAAATGCATCCACTCGCTACTTAGATTATTGGCGCAACATAATCATCCTATTCCTTTAACCTGTTCCCTGTCCCGCTCAAGACAAGCCGTCTGTGTAAACAAAGGAAATTAGCTAATTTTTCATTTCAAGCAAGGCAACAATGCCACTAAGACTTACGGGGTTATTGAGTGTGAAATAATAAGAAAAAGACAGCCATTATTAAGTAGTGAGAACAATAAAAAAAAACATCAAAATATTTCAACACACTTATATAATACATTTATAAGATTTTCTATCATACATATTAAGGCACCGCTTAAATAGACTGTCCTCTCGTAAAAAAAGAGAAATATTTTTCTAGGAATATTTTTTTCAGATTAGAATTCACTCCTCTATGACATTGAATGTAGGTCAATCTCCTCACAGATAAAGAAGAGACTTGAGGCAACACGAATGTGGTTCTTAAAAGGATGCTGAGAATTCCATGGAGTGAACACGTTTCTAAGTAGGAAGTTTTTAAGGAAAATGGAAACAAAAAGAACGCTTGCATTTAGAACTAGAAAGAGGTCATTGAAATTTCTGGGATGCATGTTAATGAGGAAAGGGTGCTTGAAGAAGTTAACACTCACACTGCATAATGAAGGCAGGAGGAAAAGGTGAGGGAGGAAAGCAGCGTGTAACCGACCCTAACAAGCTTGGGCTAATGGATGGCAGAACAGGAAATGCGTGGGATAGTAAAAAGACAAAAAATAGTTCAGAGCTACAAAAGACAGGTAGCTGTGGAGAGCCACGATTTCGATGTCCTGAATGGGGAACGGTACAGAAGAAGATGATTTTTTCTCAAGGCATGATATATAAAAAAAAAATTGATCCTTTATCATTTTAGAACGGGGGTCCATTTCATGATATCTATACAGTGTAACATCGATCCCTGACTTTTTCAGAGTTATTGAACTTCACTATTATTTACAAATGTCAAGTTTGAAACTGTGCTTACATTTTTGGTATCCGAGTACGAAAACAGGAATACGGCCTCATCACGTTAAAACATCGGTTCCCGTACAATCACTGACGATAAGCCTAGTCAGTACCTTGATGGCTGACGGCTTTGGGAGTACCAGGTGCTGTACGTTTGGATGTGCGGATGGTGTAAGGATAAAGGCTCGGAATTGTTAATCAGAGAGCCGAGTTCCAATCCCCGTTGGGTTCGTTATATTCACTTACATGCAAATGTCATTGGGAAAGGTATGAATCCATCTCTTCTGCCCTCACCTATGGGCTAAATAATAAGACTTGTATCAATAAACAGTTATTATCTGAAAAAATCTTACAGTCAAAAAAATAATTTCTGGCTTTAAATAACCTGCAAAAAGTTGGTAAGCCGTAAAAAAACGAATGAATCAGTCAATGATTACGAATACAAACTTTTTCATTTTATAAAAAAATTTCTTTTAAATAAAAAGTAATGCATATACGGATACATATTTTAAACAAGCAATTGTTTGTCAAGTGAAACTTTCTGTTTTAAAATATGTAACTATCCATTTGTTCTTTAATTAAAAGGAACCTTCTCGTAAAAAATTAAAAAAAATATTCCACCTAACAACTTCTTGTTTGAAATATATATATATATATATATATATATATATATATATATATATATCCACTTATTCTTTAATTAAAAATGTAGCTATGTGTTTTGTCTTTAATGACAAGACATCTTTTTGTAAAAAATATAAGCATCTATTCGCCAGACAAATAATTGCGTGTTTTGAAAATTGTCTTTGCAAGAAAACGTATACAGATGTATATATGTGTTTGTTCTTTAATCAAAAGAAGAAAAAAAACATTTTGTAAAAAGGAAGTATTTTCATCAATGATGTGAACACAGTTTTCAAACTTGACATTTGTAAATAAAGTAATTAGAGATAACTCATTTAAAAGTGAGGGATCGATTTTACACTATATCGATATTATGAACAAGCCCCCCGCTTTCTAAAATGATAGAGGAATGTCTAATGAATGCTAATCTATAAAACCTATTTAAAAAAAAATCTGTTTTTTTTTAAGAGTAGACCCGTCTACTTAGGTAGAGTTCATGTTAATTGTTTTATATGAAAATAAAACCATTTTAAACGCATTTTAAAATGAAAACTTCCTGATTTCAGTATTTTTACGAGAAAAAAATCCAACATAGTAATTACAATGTTTGACAACAATTAGATTAAATTAGATTAGTAAAGAAAATTCCTTAAAAAAATACGTAAATATTGTAAAGAAAGGAACACTTTATTTAATCTACGGGGTAGATTGTCCTTGTTCCACTTACAATGTCTAAGGATATCTCGTCTAGTTTTTATTTAGTAACGCTTAGTTATTGCTTGCTCTGTTGTATTAGCAGAGAGTGGATTCGTGCATTGGTTTGTGAATTTCGATTCATTGTAATTTAGAGTTCAATCCCTGGGCCAAGTAGTGTAGACTTTTAATTCATATTCTTAGTTTTTACAATAACATTTTAAATATATAATAATATGAATAAAACAGTAACGAAAAATGAAAAAAAGAAAAGAATTATCAGATACGAAAAGAAAATGGAACCTCTGGAGAAACGATCGATTACGTTCTAAAGGTATATATCATTTAAAAATTGTACTAAGCTCTGATTGAAGCTATAATTTTAGCAGCATTCTTACGCATTTCTAGTTTACCAACGTAGCTCTAAAATCAAGAAGAGCAATAAATTCACTGTTCGTTTTGAATTTTTATAGCCACGAAATATCACCGATATAACTGCCCAATTCACCGTAAGATGAGGCATCAAAGTTACTCTTTCAGCTTGTTTAAATTGAAGAGGAGCACTTCGAATAGAAAGTCAGACATCTCTACTGACTGTTCCGTAATCAAACCAATGAACCAACAGCTTCAAGTATTTGGCTTCGCATACATTTTTTAAACAAGGTCGATCCTTTTATGGGCACATTAAACACGGCGTAATGAAATACTTGCCCAAGGTATTTACAGTAGAACACCAACGTTCAAATTTTCTTTCATTGCGCCAATATTAATTTGTGTAAGAGATGAAACTCAAAATCAATAAAGAAGCGTTTGCCAGTAGAACTGGTAAAAGGAAAAGTAGCCGACAGTCGATCCGATATCGTTTCTAGTTTGAAACCTGGCCTGATCATGCCACGTTACACAAATTAACTCGAATGGAGACGAGACAATTCAGTCAAATGGAAGCAATTCAAAATCGACATATTTCTGTCTGGAAAATTTAACGAGTAATATTTATAAGATCCTTCATATTTGGGTTTAAGAGAACTTAGCAAGTAATTTAATAGTATAATTATTAACTGATATCGTATAGTAACCAGAACTAATTAAATCTGGTAAAGAAAAAGTTTATAGCGTAAAGGTTTAATAGGATCAGAAACGTCACAGTTCCTATTAAACGAAAAGGCTCGAGTTGCTCGAAAAATACAAGCAAAAAAATGAATCTTGTATGCTAAACAACATAAAGCCGACATAGAAACATTTTATTTAAAAACTGTATATGAAATTTTAATCCACTCTCGAATGCACGAATCCACTCTCGGCTAATACAACAGGGCAAGCAATAACTAAGCATTACTAAATAAAAACTAGACGAGATATCCCTAGACATTGTAAGTGGAACAAGAACAATCTACCCCGTAGATTAAATAAAGTGTTCCTTTCTTTACAATATTTACATATTTTTTTAAGGAATTTTCTTTACTAATCTAATTTAATCTAATTGTTGTCAAACATTTTAATTGTAATGAAAAAAAATTAACCCTTTAATCCCTGCGTTCCTGAAGAATTTTAACCCTTCTGCCTGAGATCCTGAGTTAAAATTCGCAAATAATTGGTATGTAACGTTTCACAGTAGATATAAAAATAGTTACAAGTGTTTACCTACCGTTCAACCGGTGGCTGGGCATTACGTCATTTTTTCTCTACCACCGGTAAAGCGGTGCTCAGGTCTCAAACGGTTAAAATCTATGTAAATTAAGATTTGGTAAAACAAATAACTAAATTCAAAATTAAACCAAACTAGTTACATTCCATCATCGCAGATCACACCCCGAACTGGGCACCTCGACATGATGTAATAGTTAACAAGCTTGTCTCGCTATATCAGTTATGACTGAATAGTGAGTTCGACTCTCAATGGGTGCCCAATACTTTCGGATTTGTGCCACATCTAAGCCGCGCTTAGAAAATCACGATCACATCCCAAGCTAGAAGGCACCGTTCCTTGAGGGAATATTAGACCTCAAATTCACAGCCGGCCTCAAGTGGAACTCCCATATACGACCCATCGCTAAAGACAAAGGTAAAATGATCGGCTCCCTGTTCCGCTCCAGTAAGTACCTGACGCCTCATGTTATCCTCTACCTTTATAAGCGACAGATCAGACCGAAAATGAAGTACTGTTGTTATATTTAAGCGGGAGCGGCCCAATCCTAACTTTCCAGTTTTTATAGAGTTCAAAAGCGTCTTCGAGTCCTTGTTGGGGAAGAATTACTTTTCACCCCCCAACCTTTCATTCACAGGGGGGATATGACGAGTCTCTCACTGCTCTCTCTCAACTTCTTTGGAAAGTGCACGGATGAAATATATTCCTTAGTTCCGACAGGTCTAACCTTTACTGCTAGGACCCGCCATGCCACTTACATTGTAGCAAACAACCCACACTCCCTCCATATTCCATCGGACCACTACTCTGTGGAACAGACTCCCAATAAATTGTTTCCCCGATCACTACGTAACCCTCTACCTCGAGTGGCCCCCTAGCCTTGTACAGGGTGAATATTAATGTAAAAATAATTATAGCGGACATATTAGAATATAGTCTATAAATTAATCCGTTTTAGATAAAGAAATACCTCTTTTTATTGAAAATTATTAATAAGGTATTATATCCGGTGAGGCACAGTGGAGTAATGGAGAGCGGCTCGGATTGAGGAATAGAATTCTAGTCGAATCCATTACATTCACTTACCTGATAATACTCTTGGGAAAGGTATGAATCCTCTTTTTCTCCCGCCCCCAGACCGGGTTCTATAGCTTTGGATGGCAACTGGTCTACCGCAGAAAGAAATGGCAAAACATTGGGAAAAAATCTGCCTCATCAGTTATGTATCGAAAGATACATGATCACCTAAGTGCGTAACATGTATGGCACATAGCTGACTGACTATATTCGTTCGATTATTGAAAGTTAAGCAGCGTCGAACTTTGTCAGTGCTTACATGGGTCTCCGTTTGAGAACACCGGGTATTTTAAGCAGCCTCCTTTTGGCTTTAAATAACCTAAGAAGGGATGATAACCCATAAAAGAAACACACCAATAAATCAACCCTCAATTTAATTAATTTATGATTTATGGAGTGAGATAAAATTTACATGACATATCAAGTTATTAATCATCACAGTTTATGTACAGTTATACGTTGTAGTGTAATGGATATCGACTCAGAGTGAGAACTCGGAGAGCCGAGTTCGAATTCCGGTCGAGTTTCTTAGATTGACTTACACACAAATACACAAAGGCATGAATCCATCTCTTCTCCCCCTGGCTATGGATTGACTAGCAGGACAGACTGGGTTCTTTATCCTTGGTTGGCAACAAGTCTAATGCAGTAAGAAATGGCAACCTACTCCAGGAAAAAATCTGCCTGGTCAGTCGTGTATCGAAAGATACATGATCGTCCAAGCATGTATCACGTATGGCTCTTAACTGACTTATAGCTATGAGAAATTTTATACTGTTCGAGTAACACACTTTTAAATAGAGCTAATCATTTTTCTATCAAATATTCGTGCGCTTTTTGTGTCTACTACGGAGTCTGGTATAAACAAAGTGTATGAAGCTGTTAGTGCGTGTGATAGTTTAGATAACAGGCGGATGTAACAATTCGGATCTAAGTAGCAAAAAATCTTTCGGTGTCTACTCTATGTTCCCGAGAAGAAACTGGATCAAATCACCTCATGTATTTCTGAATTAGAAAAAAAAAAAAAAAAAAAAAAAAAAAATACTTTACCTGTTTTCTTTTTTTCCATTTCCTTTGTGGAATATTTTTTTTATAAATCCAAATTACTACTCAGCGTTCCACAAAATACCGTCATTCATGACTTAAGTCAATGCGTTATGGAAATGTTGGATAAGTCGAATATTCACAATTTACATTATTCGGACTATTGTCCTCATCTTTGTCGCCATATGTATTATAGCGTTTCGGCTGTTGTACGCTCCGGACTTCTTCAAGTGGTTGGAATGTCGAACTGAACCCTTTATTTCGCTCACTGGGGTAGACTGTTCTAGTTCCACGTGCCATGTTTAATGGATGTCAGTTATCCGTTATCTCCTGTTAATTCACCTCTCCAAATTCTCCACTGCCTTAACCGGGTATTGAACTCACACTCTTTGGGTCCTGTCACTGGATCTAACTAACGACGAAACGTTGTGACAAATATGGCGACAAAGATGAGGACAATAGTCCGAATAATGTAAATAGTGTACATAATACCTCATCTCAGAAATATAGACAGATACTGAAGTCGAATAATTTGTTATACCATAGCAATAGAATCAGTTATGTAAGCTTGCACGAAAATTGCTAAGAAGGATCCCGTAGAAACCTGTGGTCTGATTGCCCTGTCAGGGGGGGCAAATGGGATAGAAATCAAAATTTCTTATTTTTGTTGCTGCTTTAGTTGTGTGAATGAGAGAAAACTTCTTGGTGGTTACCTTATCAAGGCAAGTGCCGCACTTGACACGCGCTTGGGCGGTCATGTCTCTTTCAATTCACGTATTGCTAAACAGAAGATTTCCCGCAGTAGGCTGCAGTTTCTTTCTGCGGTAGACTGGTTACCAACCAAGCTTATAGAACCCAGTCTGTCCCGCACTTCAACCTATCGCTTGAGGTGGGGTGAGAAGAAGTGATAGATTCATACTTTTGCCAAGGTTATTTGCGCAATATAACGAATTTCTCATCCCGGGCTGTTATTTTGAAAGTACGCTGGAAATATTTTAACTGTTTAAAGGGTAAGTAAATCTTGATTGACGCCAATACAGGAGAATTCCTTTAAACATCCGAGATGTTCGGTATTGAAGGAACTGTTCGGATTTAAGGGACAAAAGGCTGTTGTGGCAAGCTTAAAATGTTTAAGTTTTAGAGTTTAGTATACAAAAAGTAGTTCGTAATGTTGATTCGTTTTTATTTAAAGTGTAGATTGAATACATACACGTACAAAAATAACTTACAACCAATAGTAATGAAAAAAAATTGCATTAAACAAATGTTGTAATTTGTGAAAAACTAAGACACTTTATAAAATGTTTAAAAATTTATGAAAGTTATAAATTTATCAGTCGTCTATTGTCAGATGATCCTGAATTTCACTGCATTCTTCATTTGTGTTCATGACACTTGTTTCTATAGTGCTTTTGACACAAGTATAGCATTCGTTCATTTTATGATTGTGCAGTTTCTTTTTGATAATTTAATTTTGTAATCTGCATGTATGGATATTCCAGTGGCCATTGAAACAAGGGTTTTGTTCCATGAATTTGAATAATGTTTCAATAGACTTCTCTGCTTTTCCACCATGATACACTTTCATCATCACTTTGATCGTCTAATATAGAAATCTTTTAACGCGTTTCACTTAAGCACACAGGTCTAAGTTTGCCAACAAAGCTAAGAGAAGTACAGTACAACCGGGATGTCCGGTATTGAGGATACTGTTCGGATTCGAGGAAAAAACGGTGCTGTGACAAGCTTAAAATTTTTATTAAGTTTTAGAGTTTAGGAAACAAATGGTAGTTTGTAACATTGATTCGTTTATATTTAAAGTGTAGATTGAATACATAAATGTACAAAAAGTAATTGACAACCAATAGTAATGAAAACATTTGTGCTAATAAATAGTGTAATTTGTGAAAAGCAAAGACAATTTATGAAATGCTTGAAAATTATGGTCTAGAAATATCTTATTAAAAAACAATAACAATCTCTAAAGGAAGTCAAAAATAAGGATATACAGTACAGCTCATCGAATATGTTTGGTATTGAAGATACTATTCAAGATTTATTGTGTATAAAATTGTAGCACAAGGCTTCAAAGTGGGAATGGTTTACGGTTGGTCGACACTATCTGATACCTAGATAATCAGATTTACAACCCATTCATTCCTTACAATAATTTGAACATCCACCCTAAAAAAAACTTGTTCGTCGTCATCCAATCCTACAATCCCGCGTACATAAGGGAACTTACTAAACACCATATGACATAAAAAAAAATTTGAGTATAAAGTTATATATATAAATTTCTTGATGGTAAGCAATGAGAGCGTGGGGATGAACCCCAAAACAAACTAAAGATATTCTGAAGGTACTGGTCGAGGTTTACGTGACCCTCCCCCACACACACACTCTGAGCCAGGTTGTGACACAAGGTCAGTTTTTAACTTAGGAACCCGAGCGTTTCTACTCGGGCCGCTGGTCTAAGCTTGTTTAAACTGGTCAAAGCTTGTCTAAGCTAGTCATAGCCGGTCATACCACTGTTACGCAACAATGTGGTGGGGGGGGGTAAAGGAGGAGAGAAGGCCACCGGCATGGAAAAGATAATGCAAACGCAGTATCTACCCCAACGGGAAAAAAACCTGCCAATCCCTCCCGGAAGAATCCGGGGTCGGGGAGCTCTTTTTGAAAGTACTGTTCTGATTCTAGCAAGAAACGGTTTCATATCTATGTCACTATAAAAGTTCGGATTTAAAGAGGAGTCCAAATTCAAGGAAGTCTAGATTATGCTATGTCCGGATTTGGGGAGTTTTACTGTACAAACCCATTGATGTATTACTGTGTCAAAAATAGACACATTCATGTGCATTAAAAGTTTTCCAAGTAATTCAATGATACTTTTCTCCTCGCAATTTCTTTCATGCGTATCTACTATTTTTTGGTTTCTAACTTTGGTTTAATGTCAGCTTTAGTCATGGTTAGAAATTTAAAAAGAAGACATACAATTTTGATCGTCTACCAGCGTGAAATATATTTTCTTCTTTAATCTGGTCATTGTAGAAACTCGTAAAAATACCCTGGGTGAATAAGTTTAAAAATAAATAGATAAATAGAGAGAGAAGAGTTAAAGAAACGCACATGTGAAATCTGAATAACATCATTTTTATCTGCTGATGATTTTTAAATGTTTTAAAAGCAGATATAGAATATAAGTAAATAAAGAATATCATTAAAAAGCTCACCTAAGGTAAGAAATAAATAAAACAAGACTGCATAAATTGTACATCAACGTCGCCATTATCGTTATATGGTCCATTTTTCTTTTAGCGGAGATGTTGAAAAGAGGCGACACTAAACGGACGAGCAATGACAACCGTTTCTAAGTCTGGAACAGTGCAGCGTAACTTCCGGTAATAACTCAGTCCGCTTCTTTTTCCACTGCGAAATCTATGGCTCCAACACCGCAGCACACAGTCTATGATTATTTGGTGCTAAAATAAGTTTCCCTCAGGATTTTAAAATCACAAAAGAAAAACAAAAACAAAAAAAAAACAAATAATAAAAAACAAAAATAAGAACTAGTTGGAACGCTGAGATTAGTGAATGTATGTCTGGTTCACAAAAGTCATACATCACCGCCATTTTGAAGATGGCATGAGAGAAACGAGGCTTTTTACTTTTTTTAAAAAAAACTTTCAAATGGAAAAAAATATATCATCACTTTCCTCTGGTATAATATTTTAGAAACTGAATTTATTTAAGATGGGTTTTGCTTTATTTTGATTTTAGCTATTTACTGTCAGTGTGATAAGCAAAATATGCAGCTTTATATATATATATATATATATATATATATATATATAATGACAAAGGACAACTTATCTTAGCCGACGCGTTTCACCCTCTGTGGGACATTATCAAGGCAAATGCAAAGGTTTTATTAATCCCATGATCTCATGTTATTCAAGATATATAACACATACATAAATTCCAAAGTAAATTAATTTAAATATTAATTTGCACAATTTCTTTTTCTAAAACATCACTTTCTCACTTTCGTTTATTAGATATTAAATTGTATCATTTTGTGCCCCACCAGATGGCATAAACGTTTCAGCTAACCTTATTAATATTTATGAGCGTTCCTAAACCAAAAAAAAATTGAAAAAACCCAATATTTTTGCACTTG